GTCTCATTGAGTTGCTAAGCACCTTGCCATTGCTGAGGCTGGCTTTGAACTCATGATTCTCCTGTCTCAGCCCCCTGAGCCACTGGGATTACAGGTGTGCACACCACTGTTCCTGGCTTAATGTAGCTATTTTTCTTAGTTTACACATTACTGGTGATTGGTATGCTCTTCAAAGGTTTCATGAGACTACGCACTGTGATGCATTTCCAATTTGGGGTTATGGAAGATATCCTGACACATCTCATCTACAGATTCCTATACTTTATCAGCACTGACTTTTAGCATTAACCTTGGTACTTCCTGAAGTACCTTTCTAAGCTGCTGACATAAGAGGACCAGTTCTCATATTCTGCATTTTGAGTTTAATTTGTGCACATTTTCATTGAACCTCTAGTAATAAAGGCTTAGAAATACCAACTGAAAAACCAAGAGGCCATGACACTTGGCAGGGGATGGGGGCTTGGAACTCTTTGGGCACAAGGCATTGTATGTGATGCATGTGTTCTCAGAGAGAACAAGGGGTAGGTAGGTACTGCTAGCTATCTTTTAGGGATGAAGACAGACTTGAAGGGGTGAAGCCACAAAACCAGGAACCAGCCAACAAAGATTTGAACCCAGGTGTATCTGACTCCAGAACTACTTAAAAACTTAAAAAAAAAATTTAGAGACTTTTCTCATAATAAATTGTAAATCTCAATCCCATAGGGACCTGAAGTCTTAGTCTCAATCCTGTAGGGACATATTCCTCTATTTTCCATTGTTGTAACAAATGATCACAAACCTGGTGGCTTTCAGCAAGTTTCTGTAGATCAGAAGTCTGAGGCAGCATAGTTAACTCTATGCTCATGGTCTCACTAAACTAAAATCAGGCCATTGACTGAGGCCAATGTTCTCCTCTGTGCCTCAGAGTACTCTTCCAAACTCACTGATTAGTAGCAGGATTAATCTCCTTCTGTTCTACGTGTAGTCCTTCTATCTTCAGGTGCAGTGGTACTGCCAGTACTCTGAATTTGTCTCCTATTTCCTTTTCTGCTTCTAAGGCAAATTGTCTAGATAATAACATCTACAAAGCCCCTTTAACTACATATTGAAACACACAAGTTTAATATCACAGGAGGGGAAGTCATGGGGGCCACAATTCTCCTATCTTCTCCTCTTGAAAAAATCTCTCATATATCTACAGCTCTCAAAGCAAAATGCCCTGTTCCTTCAAAAATATTCCAACATACTTTTCCCCCTGCCAGGTGTCCAAACAATTCCAGCAGCTGGGTTGGGTCTCACCCAAAAAGACATTAGCACCATGTATTTGCACTTTAAGATAAATATTAGCTGGGCATGTGGCCCACACCTGTAATCCCAGCAGCTTGGGAGGTTGAGACAGGAGGATCGAAAGTTCAAAGCCAGCCTCATCAATTTAGCAAGATTGTAAGCAACTTAGCAAGACCCTGTCTCAAAATAAAAAATGGCCAGACATGTGGCTCAGTGGTTAAGTGCCCTGGTTTTCAATCTCTGGTACAAAAATAAAAAATAGTTGGATCCAGTAACCTGTGCTAAAATCCCGGTGACTTGGGGGCTATCAAGAGGATTATAAATTTGAGGTCAGTCTGGGCAATTTAGTGAGACCCTGCCTCAAAAGTAAAAAGGGCTAGGGATGTAGTTCAGTGGTAGAGTACCCTTGGGTTCAATACAGTCCCCCCCAAAATGTTCATGCTAGATTGTGGAAAAGTATATTTTTTACCGGGATGGTTTTCAACTTTCACATATTTCAGGTTGGTTGACTTGGGGCTCCCTTATGAAACAAAAACTGAGAAATGAACACTACACATATATCACTCCACTTGAATTCCCACCTGACCAGCATCTGAAGGCCCCCAGACTAAGTTTTCCCTTGAGATGTTGGCATGGCTGATACTATAGCAATGTGGCTTATCCAAAAGGCCAAATGTGTAAATGGAACATTTTATGCATTCAGGAAACTACTAGTACACACACAAAATGCTCTTAAATTACTTTTTTTTTTTTTTTTTTTTGGTACTGGGGATGGAAACTAGGGGCACTTAACCACTGAACCAAATCCACAGCTCCCTTCTTTTTGTTGTTGTTTTATTTAGAGATAGATCTCGCTGAGCTGTTCAGGTCTTCATTAAATTGCTGAGGCTGGCTTTGAACCTGAGATCTTCCTGCTTAGGCCTCCCAAGTCGCTGGATCAAATTACCTTTAAATTTGAAATTACTTTTAAATCAATGCTCCACCTCAGCAGATCAAGCATCTTGCTTAAAATTGGATTTACTTATTTGGGAAGCAAATGTCCATATATTCTGCAAAGCCCCTTTAACAACATAATGCAACATACAAGTTTAACATCACAGGAGGGGAAGTCATGGGGGTCACAATTCTCCTATTCCCGAGGCAACTTATTAAGTCCCATTATACTCACCCAGACCTCCTAATCATCCTACATGATGACCTCATCTGATGGAAGAACACTTTCTCCAAGAAATGACAAGAGAATAAAAACAGGCAGCAAATAAGGGCCATTCCACAAATGAACTATGTGGTGTGTTATTTGTAGAATCTAAGTAGTGGGTATAAGAATTATTCACTGCTTAATGGTTTTGCATATTAGAAAAATTTTCATAATAAAAATGTCCCCCAAAAAAGGAACCTTTGCAATAAAGCCTCAGGCACCAAAGCCAGCCATTACCTTTCTTATTTCCATCCTTACATCAGATACTCTTCAGACCATTTTTCATAACTCCTCATATAAATGCCATTCTTTATTCCCAAGATCTCTTTCATATTGTTTCCCTATTGGACTCTTCCCATTCTTCTAGGTCATTTAAGTTCTACCTTTTGTTAAAAAAATTTTTTCCCCTCTACTTCTCTGAGTTTACTGATCTAAAATACAAATCTGAAATTATTTAAAACAGGTATCGCTTGGAGCTGACACATGCCTGTAATCTCAGCAACTCGGGAGGTTGAGGCAGGATTGTGAATTCAAAGCCAGCCCCAGCAACTCAGTGAGATCCTGTCTCAAAATAAAATATAAAAAGGGCTGAGTATATGGCTTAGTGGTTAAGCATCTCTGTGTTCAATCCTAGTAGCCCCCCTCCAAAAAATTTAAAAAATATAGATGAAGTGACATAACAGCTGGAACACACTTTAAAATATCCCAGTGGGTTGGATGTAACATGATTGACTTAACTAGAAGCTAGGCTGTGTACATGGCCTAATTATCCTACACTTTTTTTTTCTCCGTGGTGCTAAGGATTCAATCCAGGGCCTCACACGATAGACAAGAGCTCTGCCTCTGAGCTCCATCTCCATCCCTTTGTTCTACATTTGTTAGAAGATAAAATACAATCCTGGGGATACAGAAAGTACAAAAACTCACTTGATGTAATTAACTAGATAACTCTAGTAAAAATGTCCTTATGCAAGTGACTCAAAGGTGTGATATTTCACCTTCTACTGCTTTGTGTTTCTGAAAACTATTCAAACCTCACACATGACTCTTCATAAAGAAACTTGAAAATGTGGGCCCAGAGAATGGTCAGAATTTGAAATGTCTATCTTACCCTGCCTTATAAATGAATAAGTAGGGCTGGGTATATAGCTCAATTGGTAGAGTGTTTGCCTCGCATGCACAAGGCCCTGGGTTCAATCCCCTGAACCACAAAAAATAAAATAAAAATAAACATAAAAATAAATGGATAAGTAAAAGTTCATAAGCATTTCTGCTAATAGATACAGAAGGAATGATGTGATATCATTGGCTGGCAACCCCTAATGGAATCCTGGATCTGGGCAAGTATCACTAATGGTAGCCAAAACCATTAGGGGAAAAGCTGACAGAACTTTTAATGGGCTGGCAGTATCAGAACTCATCATCAATCTTAAAAGTAACAACAACAACAACAACAAAAGCCCTCTAGATTAATGATATTTTACAGGAAATATAAGGAGAAGACAGGAAAATCTAAAATGACATCATTAGAATGTGTTTAGTAAAATCCACACTAAAGGGACAGTTCTATAAGACAACTCAGTTTCTTCAAAAAATAAAATTAAAATGGAACTTAAGAGATACCAACAAAATCTAAGATACAGAGATTTATCTGGATCCTAATTCAAACAAATCAACTATTTAAAAAAAAAGTATGATAGCCAGGTGTACTGGCACACTCTGTAATCCCTGCTTCTCAGCAGGCTAAGGCAGGAGGATATTAGGTTCAAGGCCAGCCAGGGCAATTTGTCAAGAATCTGTCTCAGAATAAAATGAAAAAGTTTAGGGATGTAGCTCAGCAATGGAGCACTTGCTTAGCCAGTGTGAGGCTGTGGGTTCAGTATCCAGTACTGCACATACACAAAAAGAGTGGAAAATTTGAATGTACTGTATCATTTAAAAAAATGTTTTACTTATCTTAAGACAATGTCTCTCATTTACACAGATGTTTAAGTACTTCTCTAAAGTATACAGATATGAGAACATTATAACTATAATGAGATTCAAACCAATCCATTTGGTAGGGAGCAGGTAAGGATATGGATAAATAAGACTGACCACAACTACTGAAGTTGGAAGATGGGCTTAATCATACTGTTCTCTTTATTTTTGTGTATTTGTGAGAATTTCCATAATAAAATATTTTTAAAATTGAGTTTTGTTTTGATAGTGTTATACTATAAAACATCAAAAATTTCCTTCTTTATGAAGATTTCCAGACAGAAAAATAGAATTTTCTGATGGACCATTAATTAGTACATTAACTTAAATCTTCTAACAGTTATTTAGAAACTGACAACAAAAAAATAATTTTTAAAAGATTGTACAAATTACTGTTACTATATCAATAAAAGACCACCAAAAGTTGGAATTTTAAGCCAAAAGCAGAAAGGTTTGATAAATCTAACATTAAATCTAGGTAAGGGTGTGGGCTCTAGAGTCATTAAGATCTAGGTGTATAATCTGTTAGTCCTAAATATTTTTTGGCAGATCATTTAATTTCTGTGAACCTCAGGAACCATGTCTATAATGTGAGGATAAGATTTCTTGATTAGTAAAGCACTGACCACAGGGCCTGGCACGTGGTAAGTACTCAATAAAGGATTCCAGTAAATCTACTACCCCATTTCGGTATAAAATGCATATTTTTCCATATTCTAACATCTCTGAAATTGAGATGTATCCTATAATTGATGGCATTAATTCAAGGAGTTTTCCTTTCTTAGTGGTATATAATAAGATAATGGAGCATTATAACAAATTGATAGCGTCTAACATTCAATATAACATGGAATATCAAACATGATAAAGCTATATTCCCAATTTCTACTTTAAGACTATTCTGAATAATGATTATGATTTAAAAAAATTTCAAAAGCTGAGCAAAATATTTTCAATACATCATGAACAGAACAATTTTGAGACAATAATTTTGTAAAAAATGGTTTATCAATTCCATTTTTGTATAAAACATATGGGAGAAACCTAGCCAATCAACACACACTGTCACCACATGAAAAGGTACTTTATCAAACTTTGAGTCTAAGAACATACAAATGTTTCTTTTAGCATGTCTACAGTAATTGTCTATGCCTTTCCATTTAACTGTTTTTAAAAATTCCACATATCCCCACTGTTATCTTCTGTCCCAGTTACAGTACAATGACGGGGAGGAAGAGGATTGGTTAAAACAACCCTCTAAGCAGTTTTCTGCTGTCCCTTCTTTCCAATCAGAGATTTGTGGATATGAGGGATCACACCTAGAATGAAATTAAAGTAAAACAAGTTATTATTAAAAATATTTTTTAGTTGGCTACATGTTTTTCTTTTTTTGGTACCAGGGACTGAACTCAGGGGTGCCTAACCACTGAGCCACAACCCCAGCCCCTTTTATATTTTATTTTGAGACAGGGTCTCACTTAGTAGCTTAGGGCCTTGCTAGATTGCTGAGGCTGGCTTTGAACTTACTATCCTCCCACCTCAGTCTCCCAAGCCATTGGGCATGCCTTCTCCATGCCCAGATTAACTGGCTACATCTTAACACCTTAGAGCCTCGAGCAAAAAAGAGCAAATATACAAAGAAAAAAACTTAAGTCCCTTTCCACATTCTGTTCCTATTAAGGTATCTACATTAAGTACTACCCCCAAGGATTTGTGAACCCTTCTAAAATTATAGGTAAAGTTGATTTAATGTGAATTTTTAGAAATGAGTAACAATAGCTTTCATGAGGTTCTATAAGAATAATCGAAAAAAATAAGAATCACCAAATTACCTCTTTTGTTGATCCTGACCTATATCCAGTATTTTAGCCCATTCAAAGGTATCATGTTAAGCAATTTCTCAAGATAATTAAAAAAAATAGTTTTAAAGATAATGGAAAATATTTTAAACATCAGGCTTAAAGTACCATATATGACATTACATAAAGACTGGCTAAAACAGTATTATATGTGACTACAAGGAGAACAAATTTTTTTTTTTTTTTTTAAAGAGAGAGTGAGAGAGGAGAGGAGAGGAGAGAGGAGAGAGAGAGAGAGAGATTTTTTTTTTTTAATATTTATTTTTTAGTTCTCGGTGGACACAACATCTTTGTTGGTATGTGGTGCTGAGGATCGAACCCAGGCCGCACGCATGCCAGGCAAGCGCGCTACCACTTGAGCCACATCCCCAGCCCCGAGAACAAATATTTATTCAGATCTATTTAAATCATCATGAAAAGAAGCCTAGAACTGTAACAGATTTAAGATTTGGGGAATAACAGATTTAAAATTTGGAAAACTAAATTTTATATGCTTTCTAGTTAGTCATTCAAATGCAAAGGATCATTGATCTAGATATACTTGTTAGAAAGACCAATAACAATCTAGGTTTAATAATACATACCACCCCCAGCTATGGTAGCCTTGATAAGAGAATCCAATTCTTCATCACCACGGATTGCAAGCTGCAAGTGACGTGGAGTAATACGCTTTACTTTGAGATCCTTGGAAGCATTACCTGCCAGCTCCAGCACCTACAAGGCAAATCATGAAATAACTTATCAAATGAAGGACAAAATGTTTAAAGAATTCAGTGCACTATTTCTTTCCTATATTTCTATGATGCTTTCATAGAACTCTCATTACTTTACTTGACCCTTTTAAAAAAATTTTTATTTTTAATATTTATTTTTTAGTTGGACACAATATCTTTATTTATTTTTATGTGATGCTGAGGATCAAACCCAGGGCCTTGCATGTGGTAGGCGAGCGTTCTACTACTGAGCCATAACCCCAGCCCCTACTTGACCCTTTTTATATTCACTTGACCCTTTTTCATTCTCTGAAACAAACAGAAACTTGAGCAAAGCCTATTTGTATATAGAAAGAAATTAAAGGTAATCATGTAGTCTATCTGGTGGTTCATTTCTTTTAATGGCTGGAATTTATTTATTAATACTCAAAAAAAGGGAAAGTTTAAAAATCTAATTTAAAATAATTTCTTAGTCACAAGTTTTAATGTTAATGATCTCTATAAATCCATAGGCTATAAGCTAGAATCCTTTCACACTATAATGGGAATTTTTAACTAGAGAAATTTCAAAGTTTCAGTTAGCCGTAATACTGCATTTTTGTTATACTGGCATTATCATACCTTTAATGAAAGTAATACAAAAAACACAGCGCCTCCTCATTTAAATAGAGCAGTAGTTAAGACTAGGTGTACATCACAATCAACTGTTGAGTTTTTAAAACTACCAGTACCCTCCCCATTCTCTCTAGGGATTCTGATTGGTTTGAGAAATGAAGCCCATTTGAAAGTTCTCCAAATGACTCTAGTGCAAAGCAAAGATTGAAAAGTGATTACTCCTGACCTAAACTCTTGGCTTAGATTTCAGTAATTTACCTCTACTGAATGACTAAAATTCCAAATTTAAATTTCTGAAATATGTTGACTGCTTTTAAAAGTATATTTATTTTCTAATCTTTTTTTTCTTTTCATGCTGGGATTGAACCCAGAGCTTTAAGCACACTAGTTATATGCTTTATCACTAAGCTACACCCATAGCCTGTTTAATCTTAACTTCAAAGAATTTAACCATTTCCAAAGGATAAAGAAAATGGGAGTTTAGATGCGACTTGAACATTATAAGCCACAATATTATGCCTCAACATTACTGGACAATTACTCCCTTGTGTAGTCTGTAGCTAAACAAAAACTAGTGCAAGATGGAGAAGGGAGGAAAGGGCTCCGCAACTAACATTATAGTGCCCATGTAAAACCCCTTGCTTATGACACAACAAAGTTAAAAAAAGTTAAAAAAAATTAAAACTATATGTAATTCAATGTTATATCTCCAATGGGACAGAGATGACTTGAAGATGATAATGAAATGACAGCAACAATAACTGACACACAGGTTAAACCTAAATTCCTGTTTAGTTATCCACACCATCAAGCAAGAACTTTCCCTTTTTATAGATCTGCTATCTATCCATACCACTTAACTTGCTGGCTACTCAAATTACTTGCCTGGTCTGGAATGTAGCTGAAGGAGTTTCATTGCAGACGAAAGTGGTAATCCAAGATCCAAGAATTAAAAACTCTTGCCCAAAAAATCTATCTTCCTAAAATATCAATCTATGTACAACCATGCAGAGAACCAAGACTGACTAGATCTTCAGGTCTTTTATTTCTGATCATAATAATATTTGTGATTTTTGGGGGGAGGTGGAGGATTGAACCCAGGGGCGTTTTACCATTGAGCCACATCTCCAGTCCTTTTTTAAAATATTTTATTTAGAGACAGAGCTGTGTTAAGTTGCTGAGGTTGCCTTTGAACTCATGATCTTCCTACCTCAGCCACTCAAGCGGCTGGAATTACAGGAGTGCACCACTGCACCCAGCTTTTTTTTTTTTTTTCTTTTAAGCAGTATTGGGGATTGAACTCAGGGTTTTGCACATGCTAGGTAGGCATTCTACCACTTAACTATATTATATTCCCTTTACCTTTTGATTTTTATATATCATCACTTTGGCAAATCTTTACTCCACTCCAATCTTCATAAACTAAGAGGTTAGTTAAATATCACAAATATTTACTGTTCACTCTACTATATATATACTTCAGAGTTTACTTAATTAGTACAGTATTTTATACCCTAGACAGATCAGTTAAAAGTATGGACTCCTGGGATTGGGGATGTGGCTCAGAGGTAGAGCTTTGGGCTAGCATGCGTGAGGCACTGTGTTTGATCTTCAGTACGACATAAATATAAAATAAAGATATTGTGTCTGCCTGTAACTAAAAACTAAATATTAAAAAAAAAGTCTAGACTCCTGGGCCTTGCTTAAGTGTAAAAATAAGTATACAAAGTTTCTTTTTAACACACACTGGGTGACAGGCCTATAAGATACATCTAAAACTGCTATTAAAAAGGGGGGCTCCGGTTGTGGCTCAGTGGTAGAGAGCTCACCTAGCACACATGAGGCACTGGGTTTGATCCTCGGCACCACATAAAAATAAACAAATAAAATAAAGGCAAAAATAAAAAAGAAGGAAAAAAAATAAACTAAAGAGTACATATGTCTTTTTGGATATATATTTGATGGTTTTATCCATTTAGTTTAGAAAATGTTTTGGAATCCCATATACAAGATATGCCCCAACAAACCTCAGCAGTGAGGTACTCCAGAATCGCAGCACTATATACGGCAGCAGTGGCACCCACCCGTCCATGGCTTGTGGTACGAGTCTTCAAGTGTCTGTGGATGCGGCCCACAGGAAACTGAAAGAGAAATATCTCATTGGGAAGCACTATACAATTCTAACTTTACACCACTGAGCTGTAATCAAAGGCTTAATAATATGAATACAATATAAAATCATAAAAATAGCAGAGAGGTGGGAGGGGCAGGGAGGGGGCATGGGGTTAGAAATGATAGTGGAATGGATGGGCATCATTATCCAAAGTTCATGTATGAAGACATGAAAAATAAATAAATAAATAAAATAATAAAACAAACAAACAAACTTGGTCACATGTATTGGAAATCAAACCTATTTGGCAATTAATAGTTGCCAAGGACTATATGTCCTAGTAATATGCCCCTGTACAATATAGAAAGTTTAATTATATAATAAAGAGAAACATGTGTCAAACATGGCACAATGATCATATTCATATCTAGTCAATTCCTTCACACAACTACATGTGACTTTAAAATTTCATTACCTTCCTCTACCCTAACTCTGTTTGTTCTTCAGTTTTAAGAGATGACCTGACAGCTAAGAAAAATCAATACCACATTCTCACTGTGGTTTTTTTTTTTTAAACTAAGTATCCTAATTCCATTTATCCTTTGACTTACCTATTCCCTTCTTCTTCCTTCTTTCTTTTTTTTCCCTTTTCTGTTGGTGCTAGGGATTTAACACAGGTCTTTGCATATGCTAAGCACACACACTACCACAGAGCTGCACCATTCAATCACTCCCAGCATTTATTATCTTCCTCACCCCTTCACTATGCCTTTATTTCAACAACTCCAATAATTTCCTTTCCATTGGCTCCTTTCTTTCTGAAACTACACTTAAAATGTTCCCACATTCTACAGCAACCACTTCTAGTTGATCTACAAATTTCCTTTCAAAGGCAAAATTTAAAAACAAATCCCAAACCCTACAAATCTCCTTTCAAAGGCAAAATTTAAAAACAAATCCCAAACCCTGTGATATGTGCCTGTAATCCTAGCTATTTGGAAGGCTAAGGAAGGAAGATCACAGGAGGTTAGCCTCCACAGTTACTGAGACTCTGCCTCAAAATTTAAAAAATAGGGCTGGGGATATGGCTTAAGCATTAGCATGCTCGCCTGGCATGCGTGCAGCCCAGGTTCGATCTCCAGCACCACATACAAAGATGTTGTGTCTGCTGAAAACTAAAAAWAAATAAATAAATATTTTAAAAAATTAAAAAATAAGGGCTGGGAATATAGCTCTGTGGTAGAGAGCACTGGGTTCAATCACTAATACGGCAAAAAACAGAAAAACCAAAAAATTCCCTAATCCCTTACTTTCTTGTCATCATTTCTCCAACCTAGACTTGACTTCTAAAAAATATTGCCCTTGAAGTCTAGCAGTCACTTCCAGATAAGGAGAAAAATCATTCCCTGCTCCCCTAACTAAGTGATTATAAGCTTCTTAAAAGAAAAATCCATACCTTATTCCCCTTTGCATTCTTAGTGAGTAGTATGTTGTCTGGCACATAGTAGGATCTCAAAATCTTTCTTTGTAGGCACCAATACTACTCAGAGGTCATCACTGACTTCTTTTTAAAAGTCAGAATCTTGCTATGTTGCCCACGCTGGCCTCAAACCTAAGATTCTCTTGCCTGTCCTAAGTAGCTGGCAGTACAGGTTCATGATGCCTGGCTATTTTCTCTCCTCCTCATTAGAACTGTGTATCTGCTATAGCAGTCAGTATATAACAGAGAGCTATAATTAAGAAAGAACTCTATTTTGAGCAGGGGGAATGATAACATAGTATTTAAGTGCACATACATATATGTACACTTAAGATGTATACATACTTAATAAGAATAGGTAGTACTACTATACATATATAAGTGTACACATTAAATGTATTACACATTACACTTACATATGTATATGTACACTTCATATGTATATGTGCTACAGTAATACTGTAGTCTAAATCCTGCTTTATTTGGTATTCTAATACTACCTCTTGAGGATTCCTCAGTCTTTGGATCCACCAATGAATCCTTGTATTCCTTTCTCATTTATAGGTTAGGAAGCTTTTTTACAGAATGAATTATCAATTTTACACAAATGATCTCAAGTTTGTAATTCTATCACTAGTCTTAGAAAGCTGGATTCATGTTTCCAACTTCTGGACATTTCCACATAGATGTTTTGGTGAACTTCAAAATAATTCCACTTAAATTTAACTCATAATATAACCCTACTACAAATGTCTATGTGCCTTAAGTTCTAAGCCTTTAAGCCCTTACTCTCCATTCATTTTCTGCACACATGCTTTTTATTCCTTCTCATCCCACTCTAAGTATATGTTAATTTGTTTTTAAACCATCTGACTTCCATAACACTTCAAATTAAATATGCTTCAAATAAATTCTAATTGAGAATTTACAGGGTGCCTTAAAATACACAATGTGTGCATCAAATTTAAGTTCCCTTCCCTCTTCCTTTAGGGTCACCTGGATTATGTCACCCATTTACTCAAACTTTCACCATTACCAAAAGGATAAAACTAAACTTAAATTTTAGTCTGAACTTCCAACTTCCATGTTTAAAAATGTTTCTTATGGGTCATAAAATGCAACAATAAAGAAAATAATTTAAAAATGAACTATAACAGCACACATTCATTACCTGTAGTCCAGCTCTTTGTGAGCGAGACACTGCCTTGGCCTTGGCCTTCCCACTATCCTTTCCAGCTTTGCCTCCAGCCTACATTAAAAAAAAAAAAAAAAAAAGTATTGGATGAAGAATTAAAATGCTCCTTCAAAAAAAAAAAAAAAAAGGAAACAAAATTTTTAGTTTTACTTTAGATAGCTAAAAATATCTAGGTGATCTCCTTTCTTCCTTTGTAAATATATCTCCTTTAATTAACTTATATAAAAAGATATCAAACATTATCATCTACTGAAAGTGTAATACTCCAAAATTCTAAATTTTAGAATTTGAACATATTTTTCAACTTTCTGATCCATGACTTTTACAAATTAGTAACTTTTATGCATACCTGAAATACTACGTATTTAAAAACTTTCTTTAAAATGTCAATATAACATTATTTTCACAGAAACATTTAAATTGTAGCTCTTCTGGAAGAAATAAGTATGTTACCAAAGGAGGGGGGCGAGAGGACAAACCTCAAAAGATAAAACACATTCAACTACTCTACCTCTAGGTATATGCCCCCAAATTGAAAGAACTCAAAACAGGCATCTATACATCCATATTTACAGCAACATTATTCACAGTAGCCAAAAGGAAAAATAAAACTGTCCATTGATTAACAAAATAAAATATATAATAGAATAATATTTAGCTTTGAAAAGAAAATCCCAATACATGCTGCAACATGAATGAAACTTGAGGACATTATGCTAAGTGAAATCTAACCATTAGACAAAATACTAGCCAGGTGTGGTGGTATATGCTACTCATGAGGCTGAAGCAGGAAGATTCCAAATTCAAGGCCAGCTTGGGCTACCTAGTGAGATCCTGTCTCAAAACAGAATAAAAAGGGGTATCGCTCTGTGGTAGAGCTGGTGTTAGTGTGTTTAAGGCCCTGGATTCAATCCTTAGTACCATTAAAAAAAAAAAAAAAAGTGGGCGGGTGGCGGGGGAGGGAAAAATACTGCATGACTCCACTTAAGATCATAGAGTAGTAAAATTCATAGCTGGAAAGTAGAATTTCTTGCCAGGGGCTGGGGGAATTTTTGTTTAATGGTAGTTTCAGTTCGGGAAGATGAAAAAGTTCTTGATATAAATGGTGGTGATGGCATAGCCGCACAATGTGAATGTACTTAATATCACTAAACAGTACTCTTTAAAAATGGAGCCAGGCATGGTTGCATACATGTAATCCCAGTGACTAGGAAGGCTGAAGCAGAAAGATCACAAGTTCAAGGTAATCTTCAGCAATTTAGCAAGACCCCTGAGCGAGTCTGCAAGACCCTGTCTCAAAAAAAAGAAAAAAATGGCTGGGGATATACTTCAATGGTAGAGTATACCTAGGTTCTATTTCCAGTTAAAAAAAAATAAATTTTATGTTATAGATTTTACCACATACATAAACTTCTATTAAAGGGATTAAACAAATCCTACTTTTGACTGATAGAAAATAAATGCTTTCAAATAACCTTAATGTCCATTTTGTAGAATTATATAAATAATTATGGTATCTAAATACAATGGATTACTAAGCAGATATAACAAATGAGGTGTGTGTGTGTGTGTGTGTGTAATGATACAGAATCTACAAATCCTATTTCTATGTAACAAAGGCAGTGTATGTGCAAAAGCTATGAGCTTTCATTTAAGAGAGAAACTCAATTTTCTTTTTTCTATTACTTGCTTCTGCTTTTTTTGTTTTTTCTAATAGTACAGGGGATTGAACCCAAGGATTCTCTATCACCGTGGCACATCCCCAGCGCTTTTTAGTTTTTGAGATAGGGTCTTGCAAAATTGCCAAGGCTGTTTTCAAACTTGCAATCCTTCTGCCTAGTCCTCCCAAGTAGGTGGGACTACAAGCATGTGCCATTGGTCTGGCTTGATTTTGCCATTTAAATCTGTAAAACAAACAAATAACCTTGTAAAAAAAATAGTCAGTTTACAGGGTTGGTAGCTTCAGAGTCTATACTTTCAACGTAGAAGGCATATTTTTAAAAAAATATTGATGTGTTTTTTTATACCTTTATTTATTTTTATGTGGTGCTGAGGATCTAACCCAGTGCCTTGCACATCCTAGGTGAGCGCTCTACCACTGAGGCCCAGCCCCAGAAGGCAAATTTTGAGATGGCATATTCTCTATGTAATGCCTTCCTTAAAAAATTATTTTTATCTATAATCAATCTCGTCTTGTCTGCAAGTCTCAATGGATCAAACGCTAATTTCCCCAAATCCTGTGTGTTTTGATAGTGGGGGAGAGTGTAGAATGAAATAGCACCATCTGGGCAGGTATTAGCAGGAAAAAACCATCTACAAATCAATTCACATTCTCTTTCTTACATTAAAACAATTTAGCAAGATTTACATTTACTAGGGAGAACTTAAATTCCAGATTTCTCTATGAGGATGCCTCAATATTTTAATAATTTGACTATATTGCTACATAAGAAAAAGATACTGCATCATCTTTTATTTGAAGTCATCTCCATTAATAAGATATTCTCATCTACTAAATTTTAAAAACCCTTTCATCTATATACAAGTAAAAAATATGTAAAAACCTCTTAAGTAGTACATGAATCTAAAATTATAATCATTGTCTCCTCGTAACTTGATTAAAAAAAGTAAGAACTAGTTATTAACTAAAAGCTACTAACCACAAAACTCCCCAGGCTTCTCAATTGATATAGTTATAATTACTCTGCTTAAGCAATTTTACCCTGTTTTAAATTTGTTCTATTTGCCATTCTATTTGCTTTTTAAGGAAGTAAATGTATAATCAGCTTTTATTTTTTGGTACTGGGGTGGAACTCAGGGTTGCTTTACCACTGAGTACATTCCCAGTACTTTTTATTTTTGGGGGGACAGGGTCTCAACCAGTTGCCAAGGTGGCTTCTAACTTTTGATCTTCTTATTTCTTTACCTTCCAAGTCATTTGAATTTCAGGCAAGCACCACCAGGCCTGACTATAATCAGTTTTTAAGTCTTAATATATGCTGGGTGTGATGGCACACATGCCTATAGTCCCAACTCTTTGGGGAGGTGAAGCAGGAGGATTGCTTGAACCCAGGGACACTAGCCTGGACAATATAGCAAGATCCCATTTTAAAAACAAAACAAAGTACATTAAATTATTAAATGATTATTTCCAAGGTTTGGAGACTCCACAGATATACTCCACAGATATTACTTTCTTTCTTTTTTTGTTTTTGGTACTTGGGGATTTAACCCAGAGGCGCTACATTCTTCAGCCCTCTTTATTTTTTGAGACAGGGTCTAAGTTGCTTAGGGTAGGCTTTGCTAAATTGCTGAGACTGGCCAGGCTCGAATTTGTGATCCTCCCATCTCAGCCTTCCAGATATATCTTTTACACTTAACAAAAACGAATCTTTATGGTATTAAACCTGTCTGAATATAAAATTGTACATAAGTACAATTTTCTGTATAATAATTGTACAATTATTTTCTTTCTAAAACTCCCTCAAACTGTATATCCTCCCAATTGTATACATTCATATAGCTGATGACTGAGAAAAAAAAATAAGCAACATAAAAATTATTATTCTAAGAAATGAATGTATCACTAATGCGTTAAACCCCTTGGTTAAAATTTATTTATATATATGAAAGATAAGGTGCACGCTGGAGTATATTTCACTCAGAAAAACTTGGACACTGGATATTTTCATATTGATTTAATAGATACACATTTACTCCCCCTCAAGTTTAAAATCTTTTCAAGAATGACAACTCCATGCCTCCAATACTTTTATGTTAATGATTATGCATTTTTAGCTACTGGTAAATGTATATCCAATACATATAACTACAGATGGAAAAACATCTTTAAAAAATAGCAAGGTTCATGAAAATCATCAGCTTGAGGCAATTTACAGATTAGATGTAACCTGCACCTCAGTTTGTGAAATATAATAGTAAACTATAAACTCCAGAGGTTGGAAGCAATTATTCATAAGTTCTATTTCAATTCTACTTTTGAGAATTTTACAATAACCAAAATCTGTGTCCTCGATTGACCAATCTGCTTATAGTTAGGTGTTACGTCTATTAAATTCCACACGTGTCATTCTCAAGCATAGGATAGGATATGTCATCTAATACTATCTGTGGTATGAGAAAAGACATCCTCAGCACTGCAAAACAAAAACATCCACAAACAAATGAAAACCTGAGGTTAACTTTTAGGCAGGCCTCTCCAGTTGAAGTTACGCGTCCTAGGATGCTTAAAGCAGGAATACCGATATAAATAAGATTCCGCAAAAGTGTCATTATTACAGACTAAATGCAATGCATACAGCTTATCCTTTGACACTTTCGTCCTTTCCTCAATTTTACAAAGGAAATGAAGTTTTTATTTACTTCCATTTTTTAAAAAACTCACTTGTCTTAAATAGATCTGGATTTCAAATAAAAAATATGTAAGATCAAAAATCAGCAGAGGCAAAGGAAGCACTGTTGTTCAGTGAATAAACAGCAACTGCAAGGGAGTCAAGAGGATAACGGCCGTTCATCTCAAACCCATGCAATCACCTAGAACAAATCGTGAGGTTCTGGTTCGTAATACCCTTCTTTCTGACTCAAAGGACCACGAATACAAGCCCCTTTCGCAGAAAACCTCAAATTTATGGCCCGGAGATTACGTAACCAAACAACGCCAAAGACTTCTAACTTGTACAGCGGCTCCTGCTTGACCTCATTCGTGCGTCAGCGCACTAGCACTTGTTTCTGTCTTTCCAAGCCAGATCCGGCCGTTGGGTTCTGGCGTTCCCGTTTCAGATTGGTGTGCGACGTTTCTGACGTTTCTGTCGTCGCTGGGCCGACCGGATCAGGACAGATCTGCTCTGCTCGGGGCAGAATACGCACCCGACCTGGCCCTGCCCAGCGATCAGGCAGCCACCCACCACGGACTCCGCGGCCCAGGCCCCCCAGAGAGCGGGGAGAGGCTCCGCCGGACGCGGCCCGGACGCCCGCCAATTCCCGACTCCACAGGTAGCGACACTGACGCCGGCCTCCGCGCCGACACCCTCGCCGCTCGCCCGCCCTCACCATGGTCTCGGCCGCCTCTGCCTTCGCTGGGCCGCGCGACCACCCGCTGCCGCCCCGCGCCGCCGCAGCCGCTCTCGCAGCTCCGATCGCCGCCGCCGGTCGGGACAATAACCGGGGCCCGCCTCGCGCCACTGCGGCCAATGGCCGCCCACCTTGCTGGTTTGAACCCCGGCATCTGCCCAATAGTGAGCCTTTTTCTAACTAGAATCCCGCCCCCGGCGCCTCCTCCCTAACGGCTGTTTGTTTTTGCACACGGCACGCGGAGGCGGGGCCTACAGCCCCAACACTGACGTTCCCTCCACCTCTCACCGCGCGCGGAACCTGACGAACAGGAGGGCGAACCAATGAAAGCGAAGGAGAGCCAATGAAAACATCGCCCGCGAGCTAAGGAGGCTGGACACTGGGAACGACAGCGGAATTGATGAATACGGTGGCGTAATTTCTGGCGTCTGGACTTTCCCGCCCATTCTCAGTGTCGGTTCTGAGATTTGTTTGGGTAGGAATAAGCTGTCGGGGGCCCTTCTTCAAGCGACTCTCTACTAAAGACTGAGGATTTCTTCGTCTCAGCCGGGACTCGCATCCCGCGGGCACTGAGATTCAGGGTTGCGCGATCCACACTTTGATCCGCTGTTTTGGCTGACTGATCTGGATGTTCTCTTCAGGCGCCGATCCCTGACAGGGTCCCGCTAATCCTCTTTAATTTGCCTTGTTTTTCTTACGCATTAGGTTAAAGTTTTGAGGGAAATGCTGAATAGAGCACAAGAAAAATTCTAACGCGGAATTTACATCCCCCTGGAACTGTTGTGAAGATTTAAGAATGAATGTGAATGCATTTAACACTTAGCGCCCGAGCGATCTTTTTTCTCTGGTCCACAACCTGTTTGCAAAACTTTAAAAGGCCCATCGTATCGTCTTCGTTATCACCCAGCCTGGACAATCTGAGCTTTTGAAGAGAGTAGGCTCCATTTCACAGTTGAAGAAATGAGCTTAAACGAACATAGTCAATTGTGTGGGCTAACACAATCAATAGATAACGAGGATACAGTCTTAGATGTTTTTTCTAATTCATTCCAACTTGCATTTAAACAGTTGCCCAGACAATGCTGGGTTCTAGGTGTTGGGGAGGATGGACTTTCCATGTTTATGGTAGGATTTTCCTAGGCTGGCATTTCAGAAATTTATCACCAGGTAGGCAATACATGTGCCAAACTTTGAATTCTCTTTCTTCTGACAGGGACTGTAACTTTGGAGGCAGTCAGAAGAAGCAACTTGGGGGAAGTAAGTCTCTAAGGAAATGTAACTTGAAAAAAAGGAAAGGGTGAGCTTTTCGACAAGACTAGAAAATTAGGAAGATATTGGCAAGAATAAGGAAGAGAGAAGGTTCAGGGAAATTGGAGGAGCTAGGTGCCTAGATTAATGGGACCCTGAAAGTAAGCAATAGCTAATTGTTAATTTCTGCCCCTCCTTTGTGTTTCTGGTCTTAGTGAATATCATTATCCATCTTTCTTGATAGATGGATAATGCTATTCACTAAGACCAGAATAACTCGTATGTTAACTTATAAACATGAGTTATTCCTTGAACAAATCATTAGTGCCTACTGTTTGCAGACACTGTACTAGATACTGGAGATTCAGTGGTTAGATATGGTTCCTGCCTTCATGTTCCTCTACACCAGGAGTTATATGTTTAAAATGTAAACATACAAATGTGTGAATTAAAATAAGTACTAAGTATACTGAAGGAAAAGAAGAGGGTACTTACTGCTAGAGAGAAATAAAGAATCTGGTTTTGATAAAATGGGCAGTGTTCCACCCATAAAAGGTCCCTGAAGTAACAAAGACTTGTTATCACAAAAAGTCTGAAAGAAGGCTAGTATCTAATGGTATAGCTTTTACCACATCTTTTTTCTGAATATCTAAAAATCTGGCTATTTTGGTTTGCCACACTCAATTTAGCCTTGTCATTTTTCTCCTGGATTATAGGAAAAGTCTCTTAATTAGCATCCTGTTCATTTTTCATACTTCATTACATCATCTGTTTTTTCTTAAAATGAAAATCTTACTATCATTTTCATTTAACCTTATCAATTTCAAGACAAAATCCAAATCTTTAGCACGGTGTAGAAGGCTCTACATTTCTGGCTCATGTTCAACTTGTGTTTTGTCACTTCCCTCACTATACCCTAAATTTCATTTTGCTTTTGCCTGGGATTTTGCCCTTAGTTAAACAATCCTCCATCTGAGCTTCCCTTTTAATCTCCTCAAGAGACATTGTTTTTCAGAATGCCTTCCCGTGGCATACTGATTTGTACTAAATGTCCTTCTGTATGTCTGCAGTACCCATTGTATATTGCTGTCATCAATCTTTAGGTTTAATTGTAAAAGACTCAGTGAACAGAATTTTTTTTTAGGTCATTATTCTGTGCTTGGTATAGTACCTAGTACCCTATAAATGTCAATTGGCAAATAAGAGAAAAAAAAAAAAAAATATATATATATATATATATATATATATATATTTGGTAATGAGGATTGAATCCAGAGGCACTTAACCACAGAACCACAAGCCACCTTTTTATTGAGACAGGGTCTCTGTTGCTTATGGCCTCGCCAAGTTGGTTTGAACTCATGGTCCTCTTCCCTCAGCCTCCTAAACCACTGGGATTACAGGTATGCGTCACTGCACCTGGTCCACATTATACTTCTTGAAATAATATTAATCAATTTTAATTTTTTTTGCTTTTCTCTTTAAAACTAGTCCATTTTTGAGTGGGTGAGATATTCACACATACAAAATCCACTAGGTATGAAAGGTACAGGGAAGCAACTCTTCCTGTCCCTGCCCTTAGCCTCCATTTCACCTTTGCAAAGGCAATAGTGTGCCAGTATACTGTTTCCCCATTAATTAGTTAATTTTTATTGAAATGTATAATTATATTATTAATGGCATTCAGTGTGATATTTTTCATACATGTGTACAGCATGTGCTGATCAAACCCAACCTCCCCTATCCACCGTTCTTTACCCTCCCCCACACCATACACACATCTTTCCCACAGTATGCCCAGTGTTGTGATATAAATGTTGCAATTCTGCAAATGTTTCTGTTTTACCTTCTGCTTCCCTGTTGGGCTTTGCTAATAGGGAGCACTCAAGAAAAATGGCATTGGGAGATGCTCCTTCCTGTCTACTTCTGTTCCTCTGAGGGTCACAAGCAATAATACTTCTTTACTCTGGCAGTAGCAATTCCTTTGGTAGCAGTGGCTGGATCGGTTTTTCTAACTGGTGGACCTAGCCCCATTATCCGCAACCCTCTCACCAGCATTAACCAACTCTTTCCTCAGAGGTTTGAGTTCCAGTTCTACAGTGCCTCATCTCTAAGATTTTTTTCCCCTCCCCTCCCCTTCCCTCCCCTTCCCTCCCCTTCCCTTCCCTTCCCACTACTAGTCACCTACCTCCATAATACTTTAGAGTTCTCTTTTTACACTTCAGTGCTTAATTTTATATTCAGTTAACAATACATTATATTAGTTCTCTGTTCAAAAAATTAGTTTTCTGAAACCTGAATGAACTTTTATATGATATGACACAGCATACTTTTTTGTTTTTAAAGTTTCTGATATATATATATATATATATATATATTTTAAATGAGTGTAGGGGCTTAACTCTTTGAGGTACTGGGGAATAAACCCCCCAGGGGTTCTCAAGTGATAGGCAAGCACTGAACCACATCCCCAGCCCTTGTTATGTACAATTTTTAATGAAAACAGAAGTAAAGCAAATACTAAAATAAACCTTAAGTACCCTTGCACAGCTATAATAATCATCAACTCATTGATACTTTTGCTGTATTTGTATTCAAATCCCCATTTACCCCACCCCACTGGATTATGTTGAAATAAATCCAAAGTAAATGTTTTTATTTGAAAAAATGTTTTCTTATAAAAACCTTGGGTCATCTTGAATTTTTCAATGAGCCTACATTATCTACTTAACAAAACAAAAAGGAGCAAATTAAAGGCAAAACAAACAGAAGGTTTAAAAAAAGATTGAGGGGCTGGGATTGTGGCTCAGTGGTAGAGTGCTTGCCTAGCATGTATGAGGCACTGTGTTCAATTCTCAGCACCACATATACATAAAGGTCCATTGACAACTAAAAAAATATGGAAAAAAAGATTGAAAAGAATAAAGTAGAACAGCATATAGAAAAAAATAATATTAAAAAATCAGGCAAAAAGGTGATTCATTGTGTTTCTGCAAAACTGATAGACTGTTCGCTAGACTGACCAGGATATGTCACATTCCTTAGCAAACTACTTGTTATGTGCAAAAGAAATGTAGGCCCAAAATAACATTGATAAGAGGAACTCAAGTTACCCTGAACGGAGAGAATTTTGTGACCCTTTTCACAGACCAGATCCTGGAACTCAGAGAGATAAGGATAATTCTTACTAACTATAAAATCTATATTCTTATAGATATGTTTTTGATGTGTTTAAGAATCAAAAAGTTACACTCATACATTGCTTGTGGAACTGTGAATTGGTACAACCAATCTGGAAAGCAATGGGAAGATTCCTCAGAAAACTTGGAATGGAACCACCATTTGACCCCCAGCTATACCACTCCTCAGTCTATACCCAAAGAAGTTTAAATTAGTATACTATAGTGACATAGCCACACCAATGTTTATAGCAGCTGAATTCACAATAGCTAAACTGGAACTAACATAGATGTTCATCAATAGATAGTTGGATAAAGAAACTGTGGTATACATATACAATAGAATATTACTCAGCATTAAAAAAGAGTAAAATTATGGCATTTGCAGGTAAATGGAGTTGGAGAATATTATGCTAAGCAAAGTAAGCCAATCCCAAAAAACTAAAGGACAAATGTTTTCTCTGATTAGTGGATATTGATCTATGATGGGGGGCATGGGAAGAATGAAGGAACTTTGGATTGGGCAAAGAGGAGGGTGGGGAGGGGTTATGAAGGTAGGAAAGATAGTGGAATGAAATGGACATCATTACCCTCGGTACATGTATGGTTGCACGAATGGTGCATCTCTACACCATGTACAACCAGAGAATTGAAATGTTTGTGCTCCATTTGTGTATGATGAATTGAAATGCATTC